TCCATGAAGACGGTGCTGGCTGGTCGGCTCGATGACCCGCGCTCCGGTGTTGTGGTCAACGCGCGAAAGGTGGCCGTGCTGCCGTTCCACCTCATGCACGCGCAGCGGTGGGAGGAGTGCGCGACAATCCTGTGCAACCTCGAGTTCATCGAGGCCAAGGCGACAGCGGGGATGGTGCACGAGCTGTGCAGTGACATGGTGCGGCTTCAAGCTGGTGCCCGCGCATGCGCAGTGGAGGGGGAGCAGGAGCAGGAGGAAGGTGTTGATGTTTGGGTGCGGTTTGTGACGGCCAATGCCCACATTTTCGAGCGAACCCCGGATGCAGTTGTTGCACGTGCGTCGCTGTTCCCAGACTGGACGGCCGTGTTCCAGGCGGCAGACACCGTGCTGTCGGCGCCAGCGTGTCGCCTGCCCCGTGTTCGACAGCATAACAAGTCGCAGGAGCTTGAACGACGTGTTGCCGTGTTTCCGGGCCCACCGGACTACGAGCGCCGTCTTTTGTTCACGCGTGATGGGGAGTGGCTGTGCAGTGGTGGTGACACGGGGCAGTTGCGCGTGTGGGAGGCAACGTCCGGCACCCCCGTAACAAAGCTCACCATGCCTGATGAAAACGCCAAGATCTGTCGCATGCTGCACCTTCCAAACGGCCATGTTGTGACAGCCTGTGTGACTGGAGCCATCTTGTCTGACGAACCAGCGCCACTTTGGGTGTGGGATCTCAAGACACGTGAGCTTGTCCACACGTTTGACGTGTTGAATGGAGAGGAGCTGTTCTTCCGACAGCTTGCCATGGCTGATGGCGACACGGTGGTACTGGCGCTGTGCGACGCAGACGCAAACGCAGACGACGCCATCAGCGTGGCGGAGCTTGTTGAGGATGACAGCGACGACGACGACGACGACGACGATGATGATGATGATGACGATGATGATGACGTTGTGAGTGCGAACGATTCATCAGGCAGTGATGTTGAAGGCGGCAATGTCGAAGCTGGCGATGAGGCAAACAGCAGTGATGCAGGCGATGATAGGGAGGAGAATGATGCAGGTGAGAAGGATGGGGAGAATGATTCAGGTGAGACGAGTAATGCAGGTGAGGAGAGTAATGCAGCTCAAGCGAGTCATTCAGGTGAGGAGAGTGATGATGACAGATCCATTTGCAGCAGCCAGGGGCCCGCGAGCGCTGACGACGATGCACAACCAATGACGTGGTTCGGGGATGATTGCAAGACAGATAATCCATCTTCGGTGTTGCTGTTCGACACCAACATCACTCGGTGCTTGTGGCGAGCAACTGTGAAGGACACGCTGATTCGGGCGGAGCTTCGTGGCACGACATTGGTCGCTACAACCGAAAGCGGCAGCATCGTTTGGTACACGCTGGAAGGCGCACCTGCTGTGACACACGTCACCACCACCACCACCACCACCACCCCCTCCACTTCCCCTTCCTCCCAGCCACCTTTTCAAGAACCCGTTGAAGGCAAGCTCACGGAGACAGCACGCTTCACCCCTTCAAAGTGCGGACGACTGTGGGAAATCCGGCGAACGTGCCTTCTGCCAGACTCCCTCGACGTGGTTGCCGTTTCTGGACAGAGCCTTTTCAAAGTCAGGGCAGATGGAACCGTCCTTGCCCAGGTTGAACTCGCCACAAAACCGGCTGGTCTGTCCCTGTTGAAGCAGGGCACACTTGCGGCCGTGAGCCTCGTCACGGAGGTGCTGTCCTTCTACGACGTGGAAACGCTCACACACGTATGGACCATGTCGCCGGTGGAGGTGGGCGAGCAGGCCATCTCGCCGGATGGAACACTGCTCGCAACGGCTGGTTTCACGCACATCACCGTGCTGAGCCTGACTGGTGTGAACGCAACGCACAGCACGCCACCAAGCGAGGACACTGCCCCGGTACCAAAGTCTCTACTGCCACCCTGCGTTGCGTGCATGGACGGCACGCCAAACTCCGTGTACACGATTGCAGGCGATTGTTCCCGAATTGAGGTGCGAGACGCAGCAACGCTCAAGTGTCTCAAGGCTGTGGATGTCTCAAGCTTCGAAGAGGGTGTACAGCACGTGGAGTTGAGCCCAGATGGCCGCTTCGCCGTGTGCGCGCCCGTGGACTGCTCAGATGTGAGCATCGTCGACGTCGCAACATGCACTGCGCATGAGGACGTGTTTGACCACTCGGAGGACTGGCGCCATGGTGCGACAGAAACGTTCTTCTCGCCCACGAGCGACCTCGTCATTAGCGCAAACGACTTAGGCTCCATGTGCGTCTTGCGCTTGCCAGACTGCCAAGTTGTGTTTGGACATGCCGATGGCGCTGAAACAACGGACCGCTACCACACAGCGGCGCTTCGAGACGTCGCGTGGCATCCACAATATCCGCAGGTGCGCGAGTTTGTGACTGCATCGCAGGATGGCACGGCGCGGCGCTGGAGAATGACGGACGCTGGCCACTGCGAGCTTGTGCGTGTGTTTCAACACGAGGGACGCGGTGTGGTGGCGGTCAGGTGGTGCATTGTCAGGGATACTGGTCGTCAGCACGCGGACGGCAGCTGCCAGAGCGACGATGAGATGGTGCTGATCACGGCTGATGATCTGGTGCGCATTCGAGTGTGGCGGCTGGATGCGGAGGAGCCACATGCCATGTGGGCAGCCGAGGACGTGGGCTCCGAGCAAGGACATAACGTCAGCATTGCGCTGTTGCCAGAACAGCAAACCCTCGCCACGTCCTGTTCCAACGACACGCGCCACTTTGTCAAGTGTTGGGATCTCTCTGGCAACCTGATACACAGCACAACTCGGCACGTGAGCTGGATCCTCGCCCACCCGAGCGGGCGATATCTGGTCGTGCCTGTATTTGGCGGCGTTGAGCTGTTAGACGCGGCTACATTTGAGGTGACCTCGCGGGTGTTGGGCCACGACGGCGTTCGGACGGGCGCCTGTCACTTCCGCATGTCGCCAGACGGCAGGTACGCTGTTTCCGTGTGGCCTGACGAAGCTGTTCTTGTGCATGATCTATCCAATGTGCTCGACTGTGCACATGTTCATCAGGGCACAGAGCAGACAGGCCAGGACGCAGGAGACGCGATGGCGCTTACCGATAGCGAAGCGTGAAAAAAAACCCCCGCCTTGATGATCATGCGTCGTATGTCGTTCTTTCAAAAGCGGAGTTGAAATGACCATGACGTCATGTGTGTGAGAACATTAAATGATTTGCATTGTGAATGTATGATATGAAATTTGACCAGCCAGTCGCCATAGGTTTGTCGCCAACAATAATAACACAAAACAAATGCGAGCAGACACATACCGAAGCTTGGGACGGCTTGCTTTGTTGTGTTTGAGCTTCAACTACGCGTGGAAGCAGCAAGTCCACACACAGCAACTACAGTGCAGCATTCAGTGCAGCACTCAGTGCTCATTTTTTCTTTTTCTTTGTTTGCCATATTGTTGTTGTTGTCGTTGTATGAAGTTTGTCCCTCAGCGCTTTCGCCTTCCGCACGCACATTCCCTTTGAGCCCACCAGCGCGCACAACACTCGTCAGCCTTCAGCTTTCACTCATGCCCCACGAAACGACATGGCATGGCATGGTACAACAACGACATGACAAGAAAGCTGCCCTGTTGTGTGACAAAGCACCATCTACTCCACCACAAGAGTCAAATTCAGCAATCCACTGTCTGCAAGCAAAACGCAGGCACAGAAAACGCACAGGCACAAGAAAGCGCAGACAAGCAAAGCATCAAGTCTCCCCCAATTCTCCGATTCTCAACGCAACCAACCGACACGCCATCAGTGCTGTTGCTGTTGTTGGCGTGCGTGGTGGCTGCCGCTCAAGCGTACATTTCTCACCAGCCTCACCCACCCCATCCACCCCCATCAACCCCTCTTCCTTCCCCTTTTCCCTCGCCCATTCTTCCCACCCGTTGTCTGTCTCAAGCGTCGCTCTGCAAGAACACGCGCTTGCTCTGCTGCATGCGGCTCCAACGCGGCAGGTCTGTCGCATCGCGGAAAATGTGCAAGGGGGAAACACACGGTGAGTGGTCGGCGAGCAGGGGCGCGACAAGCAATCAAACAAGCAAGCAACAAGCAATCAAACAAGCAATCAAACAAGCAATCAAAACAAGCAGGTTCAGACAACGGGTAACGACTCACAAAACAGCAAACAAGCACAAACAACACCCCCAAACAAAATAAAAAAACACACACTGCCACCTCTACCAACCCTACACACGCCTCTTTATGAAACCCACATGCAAAGTCCTCTGGTGTCATTCCAAAGCACTCGAGAAAGTCTCGGCGGGTGAGGGCTTGCTCCGGCGCCGTAGGGTCCACGTCTTCGGGCATCCGCCCCAGCCGCTGCATGGCCGTGAGCTGGTCATACGTGTAGAAGTGCGTGCGCTCAGCTCGGCTTGGGAACGACCGCCCTGGCGTGGAGGATGTTGACGAGGCACGTCGCGTATTGGAGGACACTGTGCCAGCACTCGCCGACGCGGAGACAGCAGAGCGCGCATGCCTGTCGCGAAGAGTGTTGTTGTTGTTGTCGTCGTCGTCATCGTCATCGTGGTGGCGGCGGTGTGATGATGATGAAGATGTTGGCGCGTGCTTCCCACCCAAGACAGCCTCGGAATGCGTGCGCTCTGACTCAAGGGCGTGCTGCGCTTCCTCGCCGAAGTGGCCAATGTGGGAATCACCGTGGCCACGACCACCGGTGTCACGCAGCGGCATCTGAACACTTGCGAAGCGCGGTACGTTGCTCGTGTTATTGCTGCTGGCGTTGGCGGGCTTGTTGTTGCTGATGCCTGCCCCAGTATGGTCGTCGTCATCGTCTGCGGAAAAGTACTCCTTGTGCACGTCTGCCCAGTGTGCAAACTTGTGCCTGAAGATGATGGACTCGAGCCCCTCGCGCTCAACAAAGACCGGGCGGTCGCCACGGAGCGTGTCCACCATGCTCTGCGCCGGTGCGTGCAGGCTCTTGTCGAACCGGGAGCCAAGCCAGAGGTACACTTCGTCCGGGCACACGACAGCAAACGCCTTGGCCGACACCAGTTGCAGGCGGCTCATCTCCCGTCCAGACGACAGCATGACAGGTGAGCCCACAACATCATACAGCTGACACCCGCGCATGTACGCCAGCGCAGCTGCATCGCCGCCGTCGTCAGCATCGCTGCTGGTCGTCGCAGCTTCAGTCCCAGTGCGGGTGTGGGTGTCAGTGTTGGTGCCGGTGCCAATGTGCTCCACGTCGCCCTCCAGCACGCGTTGCAGTGCTTGCAGGTGGTGGTCCGCTGGCGAGTCGCCATGCACCTTGTGGATGGATGCGCGCGTGCCATACTCCTCGTCGCTGATGTCAATGGCAATGGAGTGTGCAAACGCCCGCGTCACGCGCTTGCTCGTCTGCCCCTCCCACACGTAGAGCGTGCCCACGGCGTCCAGCACAAAGCACTCACGCTGCGAGAGCGAGGAAAAGTGCAGGGGCAACCGCTGCATGCACGCGCGCACGCGTCCGCACACGCGATAGAGCGACGGCTGGCGTTGGAAGTGCGTGCGGTTCAGTTCGGGCTGACCTGTGGGCGTGAGACGGGCACCTGTTGTGCGCAGTTCATCGCGCCCGTGCATCGCCTGCTGGTTCATCATGTACGCGAGCGAGTGGCCTGCAAACTCCTTCTTTGCGTCTGTACCAGACACTGTGATGTGGCGACCAGGGCCTGCTCGTGCCGACACATCCGTCTTCTGCTGCCGGTGCTCGTGCTGGTGGTGCTGGTGGTGGTGGCGGTGACCTGCGTTTTGTCGGGCGGTGCGTGGAGAGCCGACGGTGTTGCTGCGAGAGCGGACGTTGCGCTGCTGCGCCAGCTCGATGCGAGCGCGCTGGGCGCTGTGGTCGAGCATGTTGGCGTCACGGCACACGTCGTCGTAGCCGCTGATCTGCGGAGACTTGGCACCACCGCTGGTGGCTGATGGCCTGGTGGCGGTGGTGGTGGTGATGGCAGACTCAGCGGCCGATGTGTGGTCCAGAATGTCGCTTCTGGTTGGTCGGGCACAACATGTGAAGTGATGCGTGTCACGGGTAGGCGATGGCGACGTGATCGTGGGAGCGCCGACATGCACAGCACAACAACACAGCAATGCAGGCACATATAGAGACAGACAAGCAGACACACACACACAGACAGACAAGCAGACACACAGACACAGACAGACAAGCAGACACACAGACACACAAGCAGACACACACAAACACACACACACGCACGCACGGACATACGTACAGGTCCATGTCTGGGTCTGCAGTGAGCTCTGCCTGTGCCTCTGCCCACATGTCATCATCGTCATCATCATTATGGCTGCGCTTGGTTGGGCCAGCACGTGCCGGCTGGCGTGATGCGGCTGCCGCCGCCGCGGCAGGCTTCTTGGTGGCAGCTGGCGTCGCTGCGGAAACAGGCCTGCAAGTGTGCGTACGAGTGATTGAGTGAGTGAGTGATTGAGTGAGTGAGTGATTGAGTGAGTGAGTGATTGAGTGAGTGAGTGAGTGATTAAGTGAGCGAGTGAGTGTGAGTGTAGGGCTCCGCGAGAGAGGGCATGTTACAGATGGCGTGAGCATTTGAAATTGTCTCGAAAACAAACACGCCATGCGCTTTTTCACATCAGGATAATCGCACTTGGCAAGGGAGGAAGGTTGATCCACGTTGTCGCGAAGGCGTTGGCGGCTCTAATGTGCAGAGCAGGCAACAGATGTGAGCTGGTGGCACCACGCGCAACCTCCGAAGACAGCAACACACTATGAGCCACACATAACACACGCGCCCACAAGCAAAAATCGAATAACTGCCTGTGGCAATAAAAGATAAAATGTACACACGTACATAAAGCGATTGCACGGCACACACCCAAAATGTACACCCCCTCCCCATGGCACCACCTGCTCGGCCTTTGCTGTCTGCATATCGAGTGCCTGTTTCTGCTGCTGGCGCCGCAGGTTTCGCTTCGCCCGACGCCGCTCGTCTCGGTCCTCAATGTGCGACACAGCCGTGGACAGCTGCAGCCGTGGTTTGGTGAGAGAGAGAGAGAGAGAGAGTGTGTGTGTGTGAGGGTGTGAGTGAGTGAGGGAGTGAGTGTGGTATCAACGGGTGTGAGGGCGCGAAGACGAAGGCAAGACATCATCAAAGGTGTCAGACGGCACATGTGTTCCACCCATCCACACCCTCACACATACACCAATCTTCTCCTTCCCAACACACCAATACCCACCTCCTTCTGTGCCTGCTGCTGCTGCTGCTGCTTGTTGCGCGCTCGTTGCTCCACCTCCGCCCGCCAGTCATCGCCTCCTTCCTCTCTGGCGTCCAATTCACGCTCTGGCTGCTGCTGATGCTGCTGCTTGCGTGCACTGGAGAGAACATTGCGAAGATCACGCTGTTCAGCCGCGGGTGTGCGCACGCCGCTCACAACACCACGCGACGCGGCTGATGCTGATGATGATGTTGACGCAGACACATCGTTCGTGTCAGCTGCTGTCAACTTGCACTCGTCGTCGTCATCACCGGTCTTGGCGCGTGGAGATGTGGAAATGACTTCCTCTTCAATGTCCAGCTCAGCAAGGAGCACGGACGTTTCTGCGAGGATGGGCATGTACGTGTGTGTGTGTGTGTGTGTGTGTGTGTGTGTGTGTGTGTTTCTGATGAGAAGCCATGGGAGAGGCAACATGTACCAACCACAACCACAACAACAACAACGACGACAACAACAACAACAACAACAACAACAACAACAACAACAACAACAACAACAACAACAACGACGACAACAACAACAACAACAACAACAACAACAACAACAACAACAACAACAACAACAACAACAACAACAACAACAACACGGTCGTGTCACACTGCTCCGCCTGCACATCACAACACATCACAACACATCACCTGCATCGGTGAGATTCTCTCCAGCGAGCAGCGCATCCAAGTCCTCGGCATCAGACGCTTTCGGCGGCTGTGAATGAGAGGGTGTGTGTGTGTGTGTGTGTGTGTGTGTTGGGAAAGGCGTGGTGTGCGAGGTTACATGTGGTTGTGTGTTCTTGCGTGCGAATCAAATGTGTAGGGCACATGCATGTAAAACCATGCCAACCATGACCTCACGAACACCGCATGCCACCCCTCCAAACTATTCTACACACCTTAGGTGCCACGCGCGACGTGTTTGGCGATTGGTTTGGCGAACTGCACACAAACACACAAGCACAAGCACACAAACATACACACACACACATACACGCACGCACGCACACATGCAGACACAACATAGGTGAGCGAGTAAGCACCAATGACTTTCACGTTCACGGGCAGACAATAGGTGCACACATGACTGCGTGACACGTACGGGATGGCAAAGACGTTTTCCTCCACAAGGCGCTCAGCAAACGTGACCTTCTTCTGCTGTTTGTCTGCGCACACACGCGCACACGCACAAAGTGGACAGGGGAAGTCACACAATAAGTACGTGCGTATTTGTGTGAGCATGAGCATAAACACGTACGCAACTACAACACACAGAAGCACCACACAGCACACACACAGCACACACACACAAGCGCGCACACACGAAAACGTACCTGTGAGCGACCCTTGTCTGGAGGAGAGGGCAGATGGGCGGTTGCTGCTGTTTGCACTGCTGCCAGCACCATCGCTGTCCGTATCAGCAGCGACGTGCTCATCAAACACCGGCGGTGGTGGCGGTGAGCTGACGGCCGTGTTGCTGCTGCGATGCAGGCGCGTACCAGGTGTTGCCCGTCGCGGCGACTGCACACCCGTCTCCTCAAACACGTCCCTGAAGCATAGTGCGATGTGATGGAGATGAATGCCAAAGGTGCCCGGTTGGTCGCAAAATGGTTAAGGGCGGTTACTGGGATATGGCGTAAAGCATGCACGCACACACACACACACACACACACACACACACACACACACACACACACACACACACACACACACACACACACACACACACACATACACACCACCACCACCACCACCACCACACTCCACCGGCCTCACTTGAGGATGTTGCCAAGTTGCTTGGTGCGCATGCCATGTCGGCGTTCAAGATCAGCGGTGATGGATGCCAGTCGTCGGCAGCACGCCTCGGCACCCTCCACAGATGACGATGACGACGAGGGCCGGCTGTGCTCGTTCGAACCTGCAGGCGGCGTGGCAGCAGCGGCAGTGGCACGCGGTGTTGTCCGACCGCTGTTGTTGCCGCTCGCAGTGCCACTGCCGCTCCGGCTGTCGCGTGTGCTGCTCCTGTTGCTGCCACTGCCGCTGCCACTGCCAGGTTTGCGCAGGTTCGTGGCGCTGCTTGTGCGGGACGCGCGAACAGGCGTCGTTGCACTGGCCGGGACGGTGATGGATGTGGTGGAGCTGGACGCGGAGGCCGTTGGGCTGCGGTTGGCACGCCGCAGGCTGGCCTGCGTTGGCGTGAGGTAGTGCGGCGTGTGCTCGGCGGATGACGAGGACGAGGACTTCCGGCGGCGTGAGCTGGACGCCTCGCGGGAGGACGGGCGGACCTCGGCCAGGACGGGGGCGCGGGGCGCCGACGTGAGTGATGACGACGACGATGACGCAGATGTGCGCCCCACCAAGCGGGCTGGCGGTGTGCCAATGCCGTCATCACCAGGGTACCCACGCCTGCTGCTGGTGGTGCTGGTGCTACTAGGCGTGGAGGTGCCTGTTGGTTGAGGGCGGCCGAGGCGTGTGCTCGCTGGCGTGTATGTTCGCGAAGACGAGTAGGTGGCTCTGGGCGATGAGTACAATGACGTCGTCGACGTGTAGGAGGACCGATACGAGGTGGACGGAGTGGTTCCCGTGGCAGTGCGGCTTGTTGTGGCACTGGTGGAGCTCAGGACGGCAGATGCTTTGGCATCCAGCTGTTGCATCTGGGCGCGCTGCTGCTTGAGCCTGCGCTCCCGCTCCAACCGGCGCTGTCGCAGCCGTTCCTCCACACCCTTTGAGTGCTCGTCAAAGTCACTCGTCTGCGATGTTGGGGGTGGTGGCACGGTGTGCAGCAGTGAGTGATGACATGGTTGGTGGTGGTGAGGTGGGCTAGCAGCAACAACAAGAATAACACGACCGTTACCGTTGTCATTGTGTGTGTGTGTGAGTGCATGCGTGTGTCTGTGTGTACTATTGACAAGGTGTGTGCATATGCGAGTGTGACGTGCGCTGCAATCACTGCCCCCCCCCCCCACATACAGACAACACATCCTCCATCCCTACCAGCTTCCGCAGCTGTCGCTGTGCCATCTCGACGTTCGGTTGCCTCCTGCTGGCTTCTTGCTTGTTTGGTTGCTTGGTTTTGCGCAAGTTTTGCTTTGTGTTGTTGTTGTTGTTGTTGTTGTTGTTGTTGTTGTTGTTGTTGTGGTTGTTGTGGTTGTTGTTGGATCTTGTTCTTCTTCTGGGTCTTGTTGTTCTTGTCCTTCTCGACCTCGACTTTGCTGATCAAATCACACACAACAGCACATACACCACGCATCCACACACATGAACCATACAAGCAACAAAGTGTGTGTCAGTTCCACGGCTGGTAGAAGAAGGGATACGCCTTGAGCCGGCAGTCTGTTGGCCGATGCCACACCTGCGTATGTGTGAGTGTGAGAGAGAGTGAGTGCGTGAGAGAGTGAGTGCGTGTGTGTGTGTGTGTGTGAGGAACAGAACGATAGGTTGCAGCAATGTCATGACAAAAGTCAAACCAAGAACCAACACGCACACACACACACACACATGTCGGCTTCAACTCACGACAAAGAGCATGGGCACTGGATCTGGGAGGCGGGCGGTGGTGAAGGAGAGCTCTTGTGGCGCATACGGCGACCCGTCCCCTCCCGTCGGCGCCGGAATCACAGAACTGCCAATCCACCGTCATCATCGTGATGTGTGTGTGTGTGTGTGTGTGTGTGTGTGTGTGTGTGTGTGTGTGTGTGTGTGTGTGTGTGTGTGTGTGTGTGAGGGGATAAGGAAAAGGAGGCAGTGTCAAGGCGAGGGCTCACGCGGTTGTAAGCAGCAGATGCAACAGCAGCACTGGATACAAAACCTATCCAACCATAACAGCATCAACAGTAACAGCATTGAGCACCACCAGCGCTGCACCCACCTGCGCGTGACCTGCGGCACGTGGCCGCCGAGCTTCGTCTGGCACACAAGCAGCTCCGGTGTCGGCACGCCATCCTCTGACAAGGTGGGGGGAGGACGGGTTGAGGGTGAGTGTGTATGGAAGAGAACATGTGCGTGTGCGTGTTGGGGGAAGAGGGGTGGGATTGCACAGTTTGCATACAACAGGATCGACGGCAGGTGAGGGCATGGGCGTCGCAATGTTGTAACGTAACAACAACAACAACAACAACAACAACAACAACAACAACAACAACAACAACAACAACAACAACAACAACAACAACAACAACAACAACAACAACAACAACAACAGCAGCAGCAGCAGCAGCAGCAACTGAACCAAGTTCCACAACACCGCCGCTATCACCACCACCAGCGTCGACAGGGTGCAGCACCTGTCTCTGTCATGACGATGAGCCGCTGGCTGTTGAGATCCCACGCGAGGCCAACCACACTCACGGGAGCGCTGACGGACGAACAGCATGCATGTGAGGGCACGCATACCCAAGCAGAGATCAACAGCGCAAAAACACAAGCAACACAACCAACACGATGCAGATAACACACACACACACAAAGCGCGCGCACACACACACACACACACACCACGCACGCACACACACGCGCAAACACACACACACACACACACACACGCACACGCACACACACACGTACACACGCACGCACGCAAACAGACCCGTCTGTGTAGTTTGGATCCTTCCACACGTTGAACGCCTCCCCAATCGGCGGCATCATCGCTGAATAGAACTGCACACGAGGAGATGGGAAGTGGAGGGAGGAGGAGCATTGGTGTGGGGGCAAGCGATGATGTGTGGGGCGGCGTCGTTAACACACGAAAGCAAACACGCACACAGCCACAGTATCGAGAGGCTGACACAGGCATTGAAAGTGCATGACGCAAACGAGATGACAAGCCATCGGGAATCACCGCACACACACACACACACACACACAACCACACACACACACACACACACTCACACAACCACACACACACACAACCACACAAGCGCAAACACACACACACACACACACACACACACACACAACCACACAAAAGCAAAAAACACAAACAAAAAAAAACCGCACACCGTACGGACCTGCAAGCAGTGGACGGTCGGGTCGCCGCGGACAGCAAAGAGGAGATAGGTGTCATCGTGACTCCAGCACGCGCTGGCAATGTAGCCCATCGACGCCTGCCATCGCGACGCCTTCCACCCATCGTCAACATCAAACGTCCTGTACACGCGCGCGTGTGTGTGTTATGAGAAGCGGTATGAGACAAGTCCAGCACGAAATGGCCAACGAGTGCACAGCACACAGGACACACACACACACACACACACACAGAGGGCACACACACACCACTTCCACCACCGCCATTACTCCGCCTCCTCAATTGGCGTACATGAAGTGTCTGGCCTTTGTGGCAGCGAGGACACGCCGGCCGCGCGGCGACCACGACACGAACCGAAACAGCTCCCGCGCGCACACACGCAGCATCGTCATCGTCGCCGTGTCCTGAGGATGGGTGGTGATGTGATGGGATAGAGGAGATGGGGAGGGGGGAGAATGAACGCGGTATGAGGGCGAGGAGAGACGGGAGAGGAAGTCATCCACACACACACACACACACACACACACACACACTCACACACACACACACACACAGACACACACGACTGCATATCCCGCTTCTCCTTCCATTCCCCCTTGCACAACTGGCATTGCTGCAAGACGTACACAGAGGAGGAGGCCGCCGGTAACGGGGGCGATGAGGAGATAAACGCCGCACGGGGACCAGCACACCGCAAATGCACCCCCGCTCCCAACAGGCCTGGTGATCCCGTCGTGGTAGCGTGGTCATGATATGGTGGGTCAAGGGTGGGTGGTGATAAGGTGGGTGGTGAGGAAGTGATAAGGTGGTGGTAAGACACTTGAACCATGCATAGCCGCACAACAGACGCATGCAGGCAGGCGTGGCGCGGAATGTGGGGCAGTGACGACAGCAAGCAAAACCACGCGAGGAGACGGCAAAGCAAAGCGCACCACGCAATCATACACGACACACAGACACACACACACACACACACACACACACACACACACACACACACACACACACACACACACACAAACGCACGTGTATTGGCACGCGGTGGATGTGTCGCCGAGAGTCCACAGGAGCACTTCCTTCTGCGTGGCCACGCAGAGCACATCTGCCCAACGGTTTGCGTGTTGGCGGAGCGTGGTTGAGATGCGGATTGAAGATTCTACACACTGCAACAAGACTGCGGTGTCGCAGTATAACAGCAGCACGACGACATCACACCACCACAGCCATTGCGCCACCGCCAGCGGACCTTTTCTGGACGGGCACCACGCAAGGGAGGTAATGGTTTTGTCGCGTCGAATGGACAGCGTCACCTCATATGGCGACACCACGTCAATCACGCTCTGCACAGCACACATCAGCGCCATGCGTGTGTGTGTGTGTGTGTGTGTGTGTGTGTGTGTGTGTGTGTGTGTGTGTGTGTGTGTGTGTGTGTGTGTGTGTGGTGTGTGTGTGTGTGTGTGTGTGTGTGTGTGTGTGTGTGTGTGTGTGTGGAAGAGACGATGTGCATGGGTCGGACACGTGTGCAGGTTATGTTGGCTGCTTCGTGATGGGCATAACCTACCGACTCTGTGTTGCGGATCTCAACAGTGCCATCACGTCGCGCAATTGCGCACAGCTGTCAGTGATCAGGAGCAGAGGTGTTGGCGCGACAAAGGACGGTTGAGCAGCGAGCGGAACACATCCGAGGAAGAGCAACAGCAAGCAGGCACGTCCAGGCCGAGCTAGAAAGCTTGCATGCACTTGCCTGGCAGTGTGGGTGTGCATGTGCTCCCTGGACAATGGACTTTGGTGCCACAAGCTTTGTCTCCATCGGTGTCTGCACACGAATGAAGCGGTTGATGTGCTGTGAATGGCAGTGTTGGAGAATAGGGGGAGCGTGCGCTTCTTCGGCCATCTGATTCGAGCTGCAGAGCAAGCAGGCGAGCTTGCCCATGTGTGAGCGTAGTGAGGCAAGCGTTGGGACTCACCGGCGTCAGCAGAGACGTGACTTTGTTCCAGATCCGCGAAATGAGCGGCTGTTTGCCAGCGAATGTGCGCATGCATGTGAGTGAGCACGTGAAAGCCAACATTGGGGATGAGGTTGCACACGCTGATACGCGGTTGTAACACCAGGATATGCCTTGTACAGGTTCAAATGCACGCACACACACACACACATTCATGCACACGCATTCACGCACACAGACAGACAGACAGACAGACAGACAGACAGACACACACACACACGCATTCACGCACACAGACAGACAGACAGACAGACAGACAGACAGACACACACACACACACACATACAAGCAATCACACACACAGACAGACAGACACACACACACACACATCCATGTACACGCAAGCAATCACACGCATTCACGCACACATGTGCTTACTTCGGTCGTTGTGTGGTGCATGTGCTCGTCCAGTGCGTTGAGGGAGCGTGCATGTCGCGCGGTGTTCTTGTGGTCGATGATGACCGGGTTCCGCAGCGTCACTCGACACGCCAACTCCTCTGTTGGCACGGGTTGAATGTCCGCGTTCAACTCACACAGCTCTTCATCCCTCGTGCCCACCATGGTTCTCCCAACACCACCACGACCACCACCACCACCACCACCAACACCCACGCCACTGCTTCTCCGCATCATCATCGTTGACAGCGGTGTCTGTTGACGGTTATGAACAGCACGATTTTCACTGCTGACAACGACGACGCAAACAACGAGCAAACACCAAGCACACGAGAAGAAGCATGACAAGCACGAAGAAGAAGGGAGGCAGCAAGGCGGCGGGCATGGATGAGGTGACGGATTGGGAGCGGCAGCTCGAGCGCTGCAAGGTCACAGCCGGCGCCATGGGAGGTGAGAGCACTGCCTCGTGTGCCTGCTGCTTGCTGGTTTGGTTTCTTGTGTTTGTCTGTGCGTGTGTTTGTCTGTGTGTGTGTGCGTGTGTGTGTGTGTGTGTGTGTGTGGTTATGCTCTCTCGTCTCATCCCTTGGTGTGCAGGTCGAAAGCAGGTGCACTACACGTTTCCAGATGGCACAGAGATGGTGGAAGAGTACGACCTGGCCAAGGACAACCTCCTCAGTGCGTATGCACCCTGTGTGTGTATGTGCGTGTGTATGCGTGCGTGTTCGTGCGTACGTGTGTATGCATGTGTGTGTGCGTGTTGTATGCTTCCGTCCCCACCTCTGTCTATGTCGTTCTGTCTGTCTGTCTGTCTGTCTGTCTCTCCCTGCCTCTCACATATGGTGGCCACTCCTTACAACTCACACCAGTCCGACGATGGAAGCGCAAGACTGCACTTGGAAAGGCGGGAGGCTGGGAGTTTGAGCTCGGCGAAGACTATGCCCCTGCAAGCGCTTCATCCTCTGGATCAGCCATGATCCAAGCCTCATCATCCAACGTGCGACCTTCTAGTGTGTATGTGTGTGTGTGACTGTGTATGTGACTGTGACTGTGTATGTGACTGTGTATGTGTGTGTGACTGTGTATGTGTGTGCGTGCGTGCGTGTTACTGTGTGTGTGTTATTGTGTGCATGTGTTGGCGTTCTCCCATACAAACACACACACACAGAGACACATCTATGACTTGGCTGTGCTCCTGGGTGTCGATGACACCTGAACGCATGTGCGCATACTTGCGCACACACGAATGCGCTCACTCTCGCTGCCCTCTTGCTTCCTTTCCATCACGGGCATGTGCACAGCCCGTCTGTGTGCGACATGACACAGAAAAGGCGTTTTGCTGGCGTGTGCGCAACATCCCATACCCAGCAGACACCTACAAGTGAGTGCGAGAGGGTTTGCGCGTGTGTGTTTGATGTGAGTGTGATGTGTGAGTGTGTACGCGTGCGATGTGTGAGTGTGATGTGTGAGTGTGATGTGTGAGTGTGAGTGTGTGTGATGTGTGAGTGTGTGTGTGTGTGTTTTGCTCTTTGCCCCTCTCAACCTTGGTCGTCTCATTTGACCTCACGTGGGCTCGTGCCCCCGCGCTTGTTCACAGATTGACAGTGGAGGACAACAAGATTGTGCTTCGAACGACAAACAAAAAGTGAGGCGCACTGCCAGTGCAACACACCTTTCTAGCCAGAAGAAGAAACAACAACAAGAGCTGGCGCTCACACACACACACACACACACACACACACACACACACACACACACACACACACACACACACACACACACACACACACACACACACACACACACACACACACACACACACACACACACACACACACACACACACACACACCAGGTACTTTAAGCGAATTGAAATTCCGGACATGGAGCGGCTGCGGTTGCCGCTGTCACAGGACGCCATCTCCCATTCACACGCCGGCACCACGCTGAATCACTCAAGCACACGCACACACACACACATGCACATGCACATTCATGCTCAGGCTTCGAAAGAAGGAGGTGGAGGAGGGCTGTATGTGCACTGGGGTGGCTGGTTGGTGTAGATGGGCCTGTTCCATGGCTTGTTGAAGCCGTTGGTGTCGAGGAAGTTGGTCACGGTCTCGTTGTACTTGGCATAGTAGCGGTTCACGTCGCGGGTGAGGACGAAGAGGGAGATCTTGGCCTCGTCGGTGACAATGGCGTAGTCGTAGCAAGGGTCGCAGATGGCGTTGCCCGTGGGGACGCGCGGGCCGACGGCCACAATCCAGTAGGGCCCGTCAATCGGGGCGACGTCAAAGTGGACCTTGAGCTTGGCGGGGATGCTGGGGTTGGGGGCGTACGCGTAACCCTTGATGTTACCCGGAGGGCCCGTGGCGCTGCCGGTGCGCTGCTGGTTGAAGACGCTGATCTTGCCGTCGGAGCGCAGGCCGTAGTCTGCGGCAACGCACCACGCGCCCTTCTCAAAGGTGGCAGCGGAGGAGAAGTCGTCGGCAATCTGGTACCAGCGGCCAAGGTACGCAGTCACGTTCAGGTTGGGCACCACATCGATGGCCTCGGTCGCGTGCATGCTTGTGCCAAGCACCACCACAGCCGCCACCAGCGCCAGCGTAAGCGAACTTGTCGTCATTGCTGTGTTGAGGGAGTAGAAGAGGGGGAGGGGGAAGTGTACGTGCTCGTGTGCGTTTGTTCGTGTGTGCTTGTGCGTTTGTTCGTGTGCGTGTATCGCTTGTTGTTGTTGAGGGAAAATGGAGGTTGGAGACAGCCAGGCAGGCAGCTCTTATTCTGCGCAGCCTCTTTGCTCGTGTGTGCAATGTTGCTTCTTGCTGCACACAAACACTGACTGGGTGGCTGGTTGGTGGCTTACGTTGAGTTCTCGCTCATTCGTGGTGATGGATGGCGTCATCAGCAAAGTCGTCCTTCGTGAAGGGCACCCATCGATTTCTGCTGATGTCAGCAATAATCGCACAACCGTTTTGTTTTCTGCCATTGATGATGACTCATGTGAACGCACACGTCAGGCACACACACACGCATTGTTCTCTCGCGCTCGCTTGCTTTGCGCCCACGAAGTCGATTGCTCGCTCGGAACGGACTGACGTGACTGGCTGACTCAAGGACGCATTCATTGCTCTTGGTTTGAGGATGGACCTGTTCTTCCTGCTCATCTTTGTGGTCATTGTCATCTTCTTTGTCATCCTGTTCGCAGACTGCTGTTGAGGAGAAGACGACGGAGAGAGCAAAAAGGCACAGCACGAGGCCAAGCGAAGGAAAGCAGACAGAGGAAGTGGCGGAATAAGGTGAGGAAGGAGGAGAAGCAAAGAGGGCAAAGGGGAAGGAGAACGGGAAGGAGAACGGGAAGGACTCCAACCAACTCGGGAGGGGCATCCCGACCCAACAACAACAAGCAACAACAACAAGCAACAACAACAACAAGCAATGACGACAATGGCATCGCCCGCGCCACTGCTGGTGCTGCTGATCGGCTTGGCTGTGGCCCTTTCAACGCCGAATGGAACAACCGCAACCAATGCAACCAACATGACAAAACGTCGATGCCTGTGAATGTGACAACAACATCGATGCCTGTCAACGTGACGACAACGTCGATGCCAGTTAACGTGACAACAACATCGATGCCAGTTAACGTGACAACAACATCGATGCCAGTTAACGTGACAACAACATCGATGCCTGTGAATGTGACAACAACATCGATGCCCGCTAATGTGACAACAACGTCGATGCCTGTCAACGTGACGACAACGTCGATGCCAGTTAACGTGACAACAACATCGATGCCTGTCAACATGACCACCACCACCACCATGCCCGCTAATGCGACGGCAGCGAACACAACCACCACCACCACCACCACCACGACTTCAACAACCACGACGACAACAACTACCACGTCAAATGAGACCTCCACCGCAACAGCCCCCGCAACGAATGCAACAACGACAGTTTCGCCAGCCTCCACAAGCGCTGCAACCACAACGACTTCAACAACAACGACCACGACAACAACAACGACCACAACAACCACGACCACGACCACAACAACTACCACGTCAAATGAGACCTCCACCACAGCAGCCCCCGCAACAAACGCAACAACACCAATCCCGCCAGCCTCCACAACCACAACAACCACGACCACAACAACGACCACGACCACGACCACAGCAACGACAGAAACGTCAACAGCATCCACGAGCTCCACGGCAACGGCGACGAAAGCCATGTACACCTTCTTGGTCAAGCTGAAGGTTGCCGTGTCCTCGTCCACGCTGAGCACGATGGAAGTGCTCGCACTAATCCGCCAAGTTGCATCGCAGTACCTGAAGATCAGCGAGGATGATGTGGAGGCCGCTGTTGTCATGGCGTCTGGCGGGTCCCCGCATCGCCGGCGTGAGCCTGCCTCCACCACACCTGCCCCAGCCAAGCCTGCCCACGAGTACATTGTGTTCCTGCATGTGACGGTGGAGCAAGACCTGTGGGAGGCGGCAAACGAAACCCTCAACGACTACATTACAAGCGGCGATTTTGCCCGCGACCTCCAACGTATGCACTCTGCACCCAGCCGTGTCTCGCTTGCTTGCAGTGTGTGTGTGTGTGTGTGTGTGAGTATATTGAGCGCACTGTTGTGCACTTCACCTCGTCAATGGTGGATGATGCCCCTTGGCTTTGTCTCTGGCGTGTCATATCGCGTATTCCAACTCACATGCTGGTCTATCAACCCTTGCCTCGTTGCCTTTGCTTCGTTTCCCTCATATCTGCACACACACACACGCACACACACACACACACACATACACACGCACGCACGCACACGCACGCACACAGGCTCTGATGAAGGCATTGAGTCTGCGACGGTGGCTGTTGCCTCGCGGGTGCAGCCGCAGGATCCAGCCTCAACGTCGGGCGTGTACGCGTGGCAGATTGCCCTTGCCATCGTCGGCGTCATCACCCTCATCGCTATTGGTGCGCCAACGCTTACATGTGTGTGTGTGTGTGTGAGTGTGTGTGCGTGTGTGTGTGTGAATGCTTTGCGCTCGTTGTCGCAGGTGTTTTCCCACGTCCATCTGCCCTCCACCTGTGCTCACTTCATCCTCACCCCCACATCACGCCATGTCGCCCCGTTATCACGCGGTTTAGTTGCGCTGTGGCGGCGGCGGTCGCGGCGCGGATACCACACGGCGCAGACAACAGAGGCGCTCTTTGACAACCCGCTGTACTACTCGGAGAACGACGACGACGAGGAAGACGTGTATGCAGCCTGGGGCGCCTCCCGCGCATGAGGTGGTGGTGGTGATGATGGTCCTCCTGGTGTGATGGTGATGATGGTGATGTGGTGGTGATGGTGATTACATCACATCGCATCACGTCATGTCACATCACGTGTTATTCTTCCTCTCCTGTGAGTTGGTGTTTGCTGTGAATGTTAATGTGTGTATGTGCGAGTGGTTTGGGACGTGTGCTGATGCTGATGACACGCGTTTGCTGTTTCATGGTGGCACTTCACATTACTACTGTGTTTTCATTTCATATAAACGAGCCATCCTACACATGGAGGGAATGCCAAGAAGAACTGCACTGCAAGGTGATAATAAGCAACAGCAACAGCAACACGACAACACACACACACACACACACACACACACACACACACACACACACACACACACATGAGCGCATCACACGATTGTGGCGCAGCCGACGAGGGTGAAGGACGGGTGCGAGGGACGCGGGCGGAGCGAGCTCTCTGTCAACCGCAAGCACGCCCACGCAGTCACCTAATGGAAGAGAGAGATTAAGAGAGGGGGGGTGCGTGATGGTGATGAGGAGGATGGGCACAACGAAGGAGTTGAATGTGCACGAATGCACCCACAAATGCAACCAAACACACACACACACACACACACACACACACACACACACACCTGCTGGAGGTCTGGGCAGTGTTTGAGGAGGCGATCAACAAACTCGTCCGACACGTCCAAGTTGCGACACAGCGACACATCCAGGTGTTGCAGGTGCACGAGGGAGCACAGTGGTGCAAGGAGATCAAGGGACAGCTTGTCCAGGCTGTGCAACGACAGGTGGGTGAGGCGTGGGTTGGCCGTCAGCACTTTTCCCACGCTCCCATCCGTCAACTCCACGCAGCGAGCAAAATTGAGCGACCTGGTGCCGCGGTGCAACGAGGATGGCAATGTTGAAGATGTTGAAGATGCTGGCGTGTGAGCACCACGTCGCACGCGACAGTGCAGGCACTAAAACATTGACACGTATCTACAATCACGTACAAACACACACACAAACAGAAGCACACACACAAACAGAAGCACACACACACGCACACACACACACAAATAAAAGCATACACGCACACACACACACACACACAGACACACACACACACACAAACACAAACACAAACAGAAGCATACACGCACTGCGATAGATGGCTGCACGGTCACCTGAGCTGTTTGCAGCCGTCGGCAAGTGCGACTACTCCCTCGTCTGTAATGTCGGGAAGATGCGCCACATTCAACTCGTGCAGACGCGAGCACTTGCGCGCAATTGTCAGCACTGCCCGGTCAGTCACCTGCGCCAGGCTGGGTGTTGGTGTGGTGGTGGTGGTGGTGGTGGTGGTGGTGGTGGTGGTGGTGGTGGTGGTGGTGGTGGTGTGTGTGTGTGTGTGTGCGTGTGTGTGTGTGTGTGTGTGCGTGTGCGTGCGTGACTTGTGGCTGTGCGTGAACAGAGAGCAGACGCGTGGGCGGACCACATGCAACACAGCACCGCACACAAACCCAGCCTCACCCGTGCACGTTGAGATGCGTCAGCTTCGGGCCCACAGTTTCCAGCACAGCAACCAGCTGCGTATGAAATGAGCACACAGCGATTGGTGAGGGAAGCGCTTCGTGGTAATGTTGCAAAACAGAAGCACGAAGAACCAAACCAAACAAGCAAGCAAGCAGAGAGAGAGAGAGAGGGTGTGTGTGTGCAAACACGCAGTGGACACACTTCACGACACACACACACACACAAACAACACAAATTTGCACACAAACAACACAAATTTGCACACAAACAACACAAATACGCACACAAAAAACAACACAAATACGCACACAAACAACACAAACAACACAAACAACACAAACAACACAAAAAAATACGCACACAAACAACACAAACAACACACGTACGCCGCGGTCTGTGATGAGTTCGCACTGGACGAGGGAGAGGCGGGTGAGGTTGCGGAGACTGGACAGTGGCGCGACTTCTGCATCCGATATCTTCAGGCACTGCTTCAACTCAAGCTCCTCCAAGCCTGCAGTGACGGCGGTGGCGATGAGAAGGGGTGGAGGCGCGGTTGACATGCGAGAGGAGAATCACGCACGCTTGCACAGACATACGCGCACAGACACACACACACACACACACGCACAGACACACACGCACAGACACACACGCACAGACACACACGCACAGACACACAGACACACACACATGCGCGCACAGACACAGACACACACACCTTGCTGCTTTGAGAGTGCGATGAGAGTCTTGTCGGCGAGGGTGTTTGAGGAGCTGAATGCAAAGCGCCTGAGTTTCAGCTCCGAGATGACAGCGGCCATCACCGCGTCTGTCGCCTTGAATGCGCCCGTGAGCTGAAGATCTGACACGAGCGGCGAGCACCTCGGCAGCATCAGCAGCCGCTGGTGTCGGTGCACGTTGATCCGAGTGTTGTGGTCGATGGTGGAGTGTGGGGGGGGGGGGAGAGGAAGCAGCAGCGAAGAAGATGAGGAGTGAAGCAAGCGCAGTCATAAAATGCGCACGAAACGGTGATACAAACGAACATATGCACAATTGCATGCACGCACACGCAGCACACACAACAGCGCACACAACAGCACACACACATGCACACACACACACACACACACACACAAACACACACATAGACACACACACGCGCGCGCGCACACATGACGGCTTACATCGTCGTCGATTTGGCCGCAGAGGTCGAGGGCGAGGGTGGAGAGGGCACCACACGTCACAAACAGGTCGTGATAGCTCTGCGGCGAGAGATTGGCGCAGTCAAACAGCTGCAAGTGCTGGCGCGACGGACGAACAAACAGCTTGAGCGTTGCATCTGTCAGCTTATTCTGCTTGCAGATGACAGCACAGATGCGATCCAGGGCATCGTCCGCAATGTCGCCAAAGTCCGTGACGCAATCAATGTGTTTGACGAGAAACCGCACGCACATGTCCTGCAGGGAGATGAGTGATCCTCCCCGCAGCTCATGCAGAAGCGAGCCTGTCGCTGCCCGCTTGCTGCCCTTTGCGCCCGCTGTTCTCGACCGTCGTGTTGGTGTCTGACGTGCCTTGCTGCTCACTCCTCCTCCTCCTCCTCCCTGCTTCGCCGCTGCGCTGCCACGTCGGCCACCACCGCTGTTGCTGCTGCGACTGCTGCGAGTGCTGGTGCTGCACTTGGTGGCTGCTGCACGTTGGTCGCGCCGACGCGGTGGGGTGTACGTGGCATCATCTCCGTTGTCATCACCATCATAATCATCATTGTCAACGTCACCATCGTCGTTGTCGTTGGTCTTGTCGCGTTTGCTGTGGCGCAGACAGGGCACGCACAGAACCTGCCCCTTTGCAACACGACAGCCGCAACCGCCACACCGCCCAAGGCGACGACGACGCAGCCCCACAAACTCATCATCATCATCATCATCATCATCGTCATCATCGTCGTCGTCGTCGTCATCATCGATGCTGCGTGGTGGTGGTGGTCGGCGTTGTCGCCGTGAGCGCCGAAGTGCAGGTCTGTCACCATCACCAGCACCAGCCACGCTGGCGGGAGCAAAAAAATCACCATCCTCATCGTCGTCATCATCGTCATCAATGATGATGGCACGGGCTGTTGCACTGTGCTTGCGAGACGCGAGGCGTTTGTTGGCAGGCGTTTTGCCTTGAGCCAGGGAAGCGAACAGCGATGATGACGATGACGATGATGGCGATGCTGTTGACGCTGAGGACGACGGACCAACGGTGGCAGATGCCGCTGAGGCTGGTGGCACCTCCGGTGAAGGCTTGCTGTCTTGTGCTTGCGCAGCAACTCGCCTGTACCGTGTGTGTGTGTGTGTGTGTGTGTGCGTGTGTGTGTGTGGGGGGGGGCAATGAACAGAGTCAGTCGACAGTTGTAAAAGGTTGATGACTGGATGCGCACATGCATGGACAGCACACAGCAGAAGAACGCATGTCCAAGCACATACACACAACACAAACACATCACACGCGCACACATCACACAACACAAACACACAACACAAACACATCACACAACACAACCACACACACACGTACCTGGTGGCACGCAGCACGGCCAGGCGCTGTCGCTCCTTCCTCTGCTTCTGTTTCTCCTTTTCTTTTTCTTTCTGCTGCTGCTTCTTACTCGCCCTCTTTCCCTTCACACTGGAACCGCCCCGACGCACAGCAGCAACATCATCATCATCATCATCATCATCGTCCTCGTCATCATCGTCGTCGTCGTCGTCATCATCATGTGCACTGGAGTGTGGGCGCTGCGAGCGACGCCAGCGTGCGCCCCTGTTTGGTGCGGTGATGCCCTTCTCGCGCAGGAACGACGACAGGGCGCTCGTTGGGCCGTGCACCTTCTGCCCAGACCGCGGCCGCGTTTGCTTGCGCATGGCGCTGTTTGTCAGCGACCGCCCGCTCTGGATTCGCTCCACATCCACCTTGCGCAGGATCGAGTCCAGGTTCGGCTGTGCCTGATGAACATGTGTGAGCGAGTGAGTGTTCGTGTGTGAGCGTTAGGGAGTGTGTGTACATGAACGCGAGCGGGCGAGTGACTGTGTGTGCGTGCGTGCGTGCGTGCGCGCGCGTGTGTGTGTGTGTGTGTGTGTGTGTGTGTGTGTGTGTGTGTGTGTGTGTGTGTGTGTGTGTGTGTGTAGT